TAGTTTATAAACCTTCACCTCCTCTTCCCGTGCTTCTTTTCTCCTTGTACCCCATCTACCTTTTACTCTATGTACACAACTAAAAAGTGATCTGATTACGTGGCCCCTCTATAACTGTACATCCCTAAGTCTACTAAACAGTCTTTTATCTACCAATACTTAACCAACAAAACTGTCATTTCCCCCTACATCATTCGTGTATATTATTTATCCTCTTTTTCAAAAATATGTATTACCTATCAAACCCCTTCTATACAAAGTTCAATAAAAGGGGCTCCCATTATCATTTACACCTGGCACCCCAAAAATTTTCCCTACCACCCCTCTCTAAAATTTCTCCTACTTTTAGCATTCAAGTCCCTACCACAATTCTCTCTCCTTGGTTCAAAGGCTCCTATACATTCACTTAACATCCCCAAAATCTCTCTCTTTTCCCTGCATTCCTCCTTCTCCAGGGGGCATACCGCTTATTAGACCCCCCTCGCATCCAAACCTTTTCTTTAAACCACATAATTCTTGATTTACACATTTTATATTCTCTTTTCTCCTTCCAAACTGATAATTTTAAATTACTGCACCCCTTCCTTTCTCTAACTCTCTCAATACTCCAGATTTAATCCCATTATTTCCCCCCTTTAAACTCTCCCACTTTTTTTGGTACTTTTGTTTAATAAATGTATGAAAAAAGGGGGAAGGTACCTGGATTTGGGAGAGAGCATGATAGTCCCCCTTTTATAAAGGGAAAGGGACAAAAGAGATTTTAAAATTAATAGAGGGAAAAAGTTTTCTGAGTATACCAGGGGAAAAATATATGTAGGGGATAATTTTAAAGAATTAGAGGTAAGACAAATGTAGGATTGCGGATGAGCTGGGGGGCTTCAATGGGTAGGGGATGTGTAGTCAAGTGTTTACATTAACATTATGTGAACAGTATTTAATAAAGGAGGGAAGTTTTTATTGCATTTTTGGATTTTGAAAAAGGCAATGATAAGTGGATAGAGGAGCAAAGTGAGATGTTGCAAATATATGGAATAGTGGTAAGTTACAAAAAGCTTTTAAAGAGCTTTTTTGAGGATAGTGAGGCCAGGTTTGGGTGTGTAGAAGAGAGGGGGAATACTTTCCCGGTAAAAGTAGGTCTTGAAAAGGGAGTGAATGTCACCATGGTTGTTTTAAATATTTATAGATGGGGTTGTAAAAGAATAAATGCAGGGTGTTCGGGAGAGGGGTGGGTTAAATTATGGGGAATCAAATTCAAATGGAACTGAACAGTTTTCTTTTTTCTGATGATACTGTGCTTATGGGAATTCAAAGAAAAATTGCAAAGGGTTTGTGGGTGAGTTTGAGAATGTGTGTAAAGGGAAAAGTTTAAAATGAAAATTGAAAAGAGAAGGGGGGAGGGTATCAAAGATTTAGATAAAAAAAAATTGGAATCAAATTGGGGAGGAGGGTATGGAAGAAGTGAATGTTTTCAGATACCTGGGAGTTGACGTGTCGGCGGATGGGTTTATGAAGGATGAGGTTAATCATAGAATTGATGAGGGAAAAAAGGTGAGTGGTGCGTTGAGGTAAATGTGGAGTCAAAAAACGTTATCTATGGAGGCAAAGAGGGGAATGTATGAAAGTATAGTAGTACCAACACTCTTATATGGATGTGAAGCTTGGGTGGTAAATGCAGCAGCGAGGAGACGGTTGGAGGCAGTGGAGATGTCCTGTCTAAGGGCAATGTGTGGCGTAAATATTATGCAGAAAATTCGGAGTGTGGAAATTAGGAGGTGTGGAGTTAATAAAAGCATTAATCATAGGGCAGAAGAGGGGTTGTTGAGGTGGTTTGGTCATTTAGAGAGAATGGATCAAAGTAGAATGACATGGAAAGCATATAAATCTATAGGGAAAGGAAGGAGGGGTAGGGGTCGTCCTCGAAAGGGTTGGAAAGAGGGGGTAAAGGAGGTTTTGTGGGCCAGGGGCTTGGATTTCCAGCAAGCGTGCATGAGCGTGTTAGATAGGAGTGAATGGAGACGAATGATACTTGGGACCTGACGATCTGTTGGAGTGTGAGCAGGGTAATATTTAGTGAAGGGATTCAGGGAAACCGGTTATTTTCATATAGTCGGACTTGAGTCCTGGAAATGGGAAGTACAATGCCTGCACTTTAAAGGAGGGGTTTGGGATATTGGCAGTTTGGAGGGATATGTTGTGTATCTTTATACGTATATGCTTCTAAACTGTTGTATTCTGAGCACCTCTGCAAAAGCAGTGATAATGTGTGAGTGTGGTGAAAGTGTTGAATGATGATGAAAGCATTTTCTTTTTGGGGATTTTCTTTCTTTTTTGGGTCACCCTGCCTCGGTAGGAGACGGCCGATTTGTTGAAAAAAAAAATGTATATTATGCATTATATTGGTCTCACAGGCCACAAAACTTACTTGAAAAAATAAAATATTTGAAAAGAAAAGAAAAATAGAATAAAAGTAAAAATAATATTACCAAGTGAGTGGCAGTCGCCAGTGTTGCCGTAAGCAGTTCACTTTGTCAACTTCGTGCTTCTATATCTCGGTAAGTACTGATCGCAATTTTTTTTTTTAAAACGATCAGAAAAATATTCTTAAGAATTTGGTAAGAAAAATAATTATTATTATTTTTTTTTTTTTTTTAACATTTTTTGACACAGCAGGTTTGTGATCAGAGGTCTTGACAGTGAAAGGGCTAATGGTGATATTTTCCTGACACCAATATTTGTTTTTATGTAAGATGCTTCCCACCAAGGTGATGCAGAGATGCAAACACATTCATCATCTCAGTTGATATATTTTCCATCTTAGCATCACTTACAGACTTGAATAAATCTCCATCCCATGGAGTTGCCTTGGTAGAAATGCACATATATTGCATAAGACACTGAACTGCAATATTGTTCTTCCCACCTCCAGAACTGAAACACCATTACTCATCCTTCAGTGTGTAGGCACTGTAATTCCCACCTCCAGGATTGCAACATCCTCATCCATTAAAACCTGGCCACTAATAGCAACATTCTTATCAAGAAGAGGAGTGTTCATCCTCAGTCGTTCAAACTTATGACTACACTACACAAGATGTACTATGCAGTATCAACACTTTCTTTACCATTCCTGAGCATAAATGGAAGGGTATGTGGAGGGTGTGTAAAGGTAAAAAGTTGAAGTGAACATAGGTAAGAGTAAGGTAATGAGGGTATCAAACGATTTAGATAAAGAAAAATTGTATATCACATTGGAGGGAGGGAGTATGGAAGAAGTGAATGTGTTCAGATATTTGGGAGTTGACTTGTCAGCGGATTGGTTTATGAAGGCTGAGGTTAACCACAGAATTGATGAAGGAAAAAAGGTGAGTGGTGTGGAGACAGCACACTACCCATGGAGGCAAAGAAGGAAATGTATGAGAGTATCTTGGTACCAACACTCTTGTGTGGGTGTGAGGCGTGGGTTGTAAATTCTGCAGTGAAGAGGATGCTGGAGGCAGTGGAGATGTCATGTCTAAGGCAATGTGTGATGTATATATTATGCAGAGAATTGTTTCTTCTTTCAACGCACTGGTTGTATCTCTACAAAAAGAAAAACGAAAGTTTCTCCTTTTAAATTTATTAATATACAGTGGACCCCCGGTTAACGATAATTTTTCACTCCAGAAGTATGTTCAGGTGCCAGTACTGACCGAATTTGTTCCCATAAGAAATATTGTGAAGTAGATTAGTCCATTTCAGACCCCCAAACATACACGTACAAACGCACTTACATAAATACACTTACATAATTGGTCGCATTCGGAGGTAATCATTATGCGGGGGTCCACTGTATACAGAAGGGGTTACTAGCCCCTTGCTCCCGGCATTTTAGTTGTCTCTTACGACATGCATGGCTTATGGAGGAAGAATTCTGTTTCACTTCCCCATGGAGAGAAGAAGAAATAAATCAGAACAAGAACTAGTAAGAAAATAGAAGAAAACAGAGGGGTGTTTGTGTATATATATGCCTGTACAATGTACATGCAAGTGTAGTGTGACCTAAGTGTAAGTAGAAGTAGCAAGACATACCTGAAATCTTGCATGTTTATGAGACAGAAAAAGACATCAGCAATCCTACCATCATGTAAAACAATTACAGGCTTTACACCCACTTGGCAGGATGGTAGTACCTCCCTGGGCAGTTGTGTGATTAATACTCTCAGTGTAGAATTAATGATGCTCAGGCAAGGACCACACTAGAGGCTGAACCTTGCCAAGTTATGTTTGGAAGACGTAGAATCCAGCCGTATCCCTGCTGCCCTCCCCAGATCACTTTCTTGGGTGTGGTATGTGGATGGCATTTTATTCATAGTGGCCAAAAGTCTCGAATGCATGATATCCTCAACACCTTCAACATTCTGTAACCTACTATTAAGGTCATTCTAGAGGAGGAAGACAATCAGCTGCTATTTCTTGATGTGCTACAACCTGCTGGTAATAGCTGAATGGATGGAATACAGCACACTTGTGTTCCATACATGTTGTTATCACCAAGTTCGCTTAGATCAAGTTTTGTTGAATACCTTAAGTTCTGCAGCTTTAAAATGTTCTTTCCTGCTGGCATTTGAGTCACCTTTTATGACTTGCATGGAGTGAGTGATGGTGACACTGTTTCTTCTGTTTTGGGTCACCTTGACTCAGTGGCGGATGACCAGTGGGTGGAAAAAAGGTTTGGCAGCATGTTAAGTGACTTAAAGAAGGTAAACACTCAAACTTAACTTTTTTATTTTAGTAAATTGTTTTTTAAAGCTCCGGCGGTCTCCTACGTAGGTAAGGTGACTTTTTTGTGTCAAGACTACTTCTGTTGTCTCCAGTGTTATATTCTCCTGTTGTATTGGTGAGACATATCAACACTCTAGATAGCCAAGTGTTGCACATGTGTCTTATTCATCAGCTTGTTAGAATTGCATGCCATCAGTACTGTGACTCGGGTGTTTATTGTAATGTATTGAATCTTTCAGAAAACTATGACGGATCTACCCAAGGTTCATCCATTGTTGGAAGAAGTGGTGAAAAGCCTGAGCAGCAGTGCTCACACCACTGAGTCTCCGCTCATACAATTCTGGCTGAAAGTCTTGGAGCCCTGCTTAGCATATTCACCAGCCGCTAGAATCAAGTTGCTCTTCAATTTTCTGCAGGTCAGTCTTGTACACCTTACTTACCATTGTGGGTTTTAGACATTACTTTGCTTCATAGCTAAACATTACCTTACTTCATATAGCCTTCAAGGGTGCATGTGAAGGGCTCTTGATCATAGTAATTTGAGCTACCCTCCCTTGTGTGTAATATGTAATAAAGTCAGGAGTGACTGCCATACCAGTTAACTTGTGGTGTGGATGGTAGTGTGGGGGGAGGAAAGGGAGGTACAGTCGCTCACAAAATAGTCACTCAGCCACAGTCACTGAGGGCTGGAGGAAATTACAATAGGATTGGAGTATAGCAGGCAGTCAGCCCATGTTTCATCCCTGGCAACTGACCTGCGCCTGGCTTTTAAAGGGTTTCTATAAGTAAATCTTAGTAGTAACTTATTAATGTCATTAGACAGGATCATTATATTGAGTCGGTCTTAGTAACACCTCTTTAACCTTTTCAGTGGCCATCATATAGAACTCACAAAATTTTAATGACATGATTGCAAATTAACCATACCATGGATGGGGTTAGAACCCGGGATCAGAGAGTCGCAAAACTCCAGACTGACGTGTTAGTCACTGGGCCAGCTGGCCCAGTGACTGTCACTTAACATGCTGCCAAACCTTTTTTCCACCCACTGGTCATCCGCCACTGAGTCAAAGTGACCCAAAACAGAAGAAACAGTGTCACCATCACTCGCTCCAGCTGGCCCAGTGGCATTGGTTTGGAATTTTGTGACTCTGATCGCGGGTTGTAACCCCATCCTTGGTATGGTTTGTTTCATCATATAAAACTACATCATTGAGGTCAGGGACCTTTTTGTAGTTCTACATCATGAGTTCAGCTCACTCAGATAAGTTGTGAGTGGTAAGTTTTGGTCTAGACATGAGAGAATGGGTCTGTGCAGTGAGTGTGCACAGTATGCCCCATGCAGTGCATGATGGGAAAAGCAAAGCTGATCATGTGTTTGGTTTAAAATAAAAATTTTGAGGTGTTTTTTCAGGATGTTTTTTATGGTTTTATTGGCTGTTTCTTGGTATCTTTTGATAGAATGGAAGACATACTACTGAAATGGAAATTTTTTTGCTTGATTTTTTAGGACCAGAAATAACTTAAAACTGGACTCAAAGTAGTGGAAATATTTGATTTTTACTGCTTTTCCTGATAATGGGGAAGACCCTCCCCCCTCTTTTACCCACTGGTCTGTTGTATGGGTTTTCACTAGGTCTGATTCAGTTATAGGGATTTTGTAAATCATGACCAATCATTCCTGGTTATTCGTATTTTATTATCCAGGAAATAAAGTAAGTCTGTTTTTGTGTGTAATATAAGAGAGGCCTGAGGATGTGATTAATGAAAAAGGAAATGTTTTAGTGCCAGAAATGTCTACAGTGCTTATTTTTCACTCTATTTATAAAAGGGCATTTTTTTAATTTTGTGTAAAATTGGTAAAATTACTGACTGCTGTGCACAGTGTAGGTCAGTTGTAATAGTTGAATGGGTGGTTTCTTGTGTTAAGTCGATAGAACAGAAGGCTTTCTAGTAAAATAACTAAGAATTTTGTCAAAGGGAAGAATAGAATTGATTTAAAATGGGACTCAAAGTTGGTGAAATTGCCAATGCTTAAATTGTGCCCAGACTGCTAACTTTGCACCTGCATAGTTACATCAGTTTTCCATCAAATTTTGTACTTTTATTGTCATTACCTTTAAAAAAGATTCCCTACCATTTCAGATTTTTTTTTTTGTTTAAAGTGGACTCTGGGAGCAATATTAATTTCAAATGTCTGGTCAGTGAAAGGGTTAATGTAGTTATGTACTTATTCTTGCAGCTGCTGCTTTCCAAGCTGAAGCGTGGGTGTGAGGTTGCTGCTGTGATGACTAGTAATGTGGTGACACTACTGGTAACTACTGTGTCCAGACACGATAATGATCTGAGTTTAGCTGCTCGTGGCCTCGGATCTGCACTGCTACAGCTGGTCACTGCCAACACTGATGAAAGCAGGTAAGTGATACATCTGTCTCACTGCTACAGCTGGTCACTGTCAACAATGATGAAAGCAGGTAAGTGATATGTCTGTCTCACTGCTACAGCTGGTCACTGCCAACACTGATGAAAGCAGGTAAGTTATACATCTGTCTCACTGCTACAGCTGGTCACTGCTAATTCTGCAGAGTTTAAGATTATTAACAATATTCAAACCTCTAAAAATAATAGGTTAACAAAGGTAAATATTAAATGAGAAGATTGATTCTGCACTCAGTTACCAACACACTCTGGCTGAACTGCTACTTTGTACATTAGACAATTTAAATTTAGATAGGTTAGCCGGACCAGAGTCTTGGAGGTGGGAAGTCCGGTGCCTGCACTCTGAAGGCGAGATGGAGATATGGTGTGGCAATAACAAAAAAAGGCACAATACCGTGACTGGAACGATACACAAATAACCCGCACATAAAAGAGAGAAGCTTACGACGGCATTTCGGTCCGACTTGGACCATTTACAATGTCACACTTTGTAAATGGTCCAAGTCGGACCGAAACGTCGTCGTAAGCTTCTCTCTTTTATGTGTGGGTTATTTGTGTATATGGTGTAGCTTTTGAACCATAGTGTAGGCACACTTCTGGCAAAACAGTAATGGAGTCAGTGATGATAAATTTTTTTTTTTTTTTTGGGGGGGGGGGGAGGTCACCCTGCCTTGATGGGGAAACAGCCGCCAATGTGTTAATAATAAAAATAAACATAGATAGATTGAATGATGATGATGAAAGTGTTTCTATTTTTTGGGTCACCTTGCCTTGGTGGGAGACAGCTGATGTGTTAATTAATAATTAAATAAATGAAAAAAGTAACTCACAATAAACTGAATTTTATTTTCTGAAACTAAATATATAACAGTCCCTCTAAGATAAGTGTATGTTCTTAACTTGCAATAGTCCCTCAGTGGTCCATAAGAGTGGAGGATGGATCCTTTGGTTATTCCACTTCCACAATGTAAATTACCATACTTGATTAAGTGCCAGATCAACCAGGCTATGATGGATATGTGGGGCAGTGGGCCACCAACACCAATAACCTGGTTGACCAGGCTAGCACCAGACGAGCCTGACCCATGGCAGTTCCCTGGGAGTAGATTAACTCTTGGAACTCATGAAAGGTATATCAAAAGGTATGGAAAGTTAAAGTGAAGGATTATTCAAAGGTTAGGTGACTGGTGTCTAGGGTCAGGGGAAGCAGAAAGCAGCAGAATATATTTGGGCAAGACCTATCAACAATATTTATTGCAAGGTAAGAACATAAGCATAAGTGATCTTGGGGGGAGTGTTTTATTTTTGGTGTCAGAAAATAAAATTCTATATATTGTGAGTTATAATATTTAAATGTTTAATACTGTTTAAATTATCTGTTATACAAAGTGCCGTATCACCCAGGGTGTGATGATAGGTAGGCTGGTAGGTCATAGACAACAACAGCCTGATTGATCAGGCATTCATTAGTGCAGTCTGGTCTCAGACTACTGATGAACTCTGGAAACATTGTATTGTACTGATCCACACTAACAGCACCTTTCAAGGCAGGTGAAATTGCTGACCTAGAAAATGTACAGAGAACCTTCACGGCGCGCATAACGGAGATAAAACACCTCAATTACTGGGAACGCTTGAGGTTCCTGAACCTGTATTCCTTGGAACGCAGGCGGGAGAGATACGTGATTATATACACCTGGAAAATCCTAGAGGGACTAGTACCGAACTTGCACACGAAAATCACTTGCTACGAAAGCAAAAGACTTGGCAGATGATGCAACATCCCCCCAATGAAAAGCAGGGGTGTCACTAGCACGTTAAGAGACCATACAATAAGTGTCAGGGGCCTGAGACTGTTCAACTGCCTCCCAGCATACATAAGGGGGATTACCAACAGACCCCTGGCTGTCTTCAAGCTGGCACTGGACAAGCACCTAACGTCGGTTCCTGACCAGCCGGGCTGTGGCTCGTACGTTGGTTTGCGTGCAGCAATCAGTAATGGCCTGGTTGATCAGGCTCTGATCCACCAGGAGGCCTGGTCACAGACCGGGGCCGCGGGGGCGTTGACCCCCGGAACTCTCTCCAGGTAAACTCCACGTCTTACTGCAACTGAGGTACAGAAAGTATATGAAGCCATCCTCTGAAATTCTGTGTAGGTTTCTAGAACACATACGATTTACAACAAATTTCTCTATTTGTGTTATTTATGTTAGGTTGAGTTAGGTTAGAGTATCTTTGATTAATAAAAATTAATTTATTATACCACAATGGCAGTAAATGAAATGTAAGATAGAACCAGTAAAAAGTTCTGATGTATGAACAGAAAACTGACCCACTGAGTCAGATAATCACTGTTTAAAACTTGTTCAACAGTCACCCATTTTAACCCTTAAATGGTCCAAATGCATATATACGTTTTTTCAACATCTGAAAGTATGTAAAAAAATGTAGATCTTCTTTTTTGTTTTACATTTGAAAACATGTAAAAAAACTTTTATCTACATATTTTTTTTTGTTATATTTGAAAATGTGTGAGTGTGGTGAAAGTGTTGAAAGTGATGAAAGTATTTTCTTTTTGGGGATTTTCTTTCTTTTTTGGGTCACCCTGCCTTGGTGGGAGACGACCAACTTGTTGAAAAAAAAAAAAAAAAAAAAAATTGAAAATATGTAAGAAAAAGTAGATCTACTTTTGTAGCACTACGAATTTGAACGACGATCTGTTTGGACCGTTTAAGGGTTAAAAGGATGGGCTGAGTATGTACATAATGTCTGCTACTTTGCTCAGGTTTTACTACTACTGTTGCTTGTTGTGTTTATTTTTTATTTATTTTTTTATTATCACACCGGCCGATTCCCACCAAGGCAGGGTGGCCCGAAAAAGAAAAACTTTCACCATCATTCACTCCATCACTGTCTTGCCAGAAGGGTGCTTTACACTACAGTTTTTAAACTGCAACATTAACACCCCTCCTTCAGAGTGCAGGCACTGTACTTCCCATCTCCAGGACTCAAGTCCGGCCTGCCGGTTTCCCTGAATCCCTTCATAAATGTTACTTTGCTCACACTCCAACAGCACGTCAAGTATTAAAAACCATTTGTCTCCATTCACTCCTATCAAACACGGGCTCATGCATACCTGCTGGAAGTCCAAGCCCCTCGCACACAAAACCTCCTTTACCCCCTCCCTCCAACCCTTCCTAGGCCGACCCTACCCCGCCTTCCTTCCACTACAGACTGATACCACTCTTGAAGTTATTCTGTTTCGCTCCATTCTCTCTACATGTCCGAAACCACCTCAACAACCCTTCCTCAGCCCTCTGGACAACAGTTTTGGTAATCCCCCACCCTCCTCCTAACTTCCAAACTACGAATTCTCTGCATTATATTCACACCACACATTGCCCTCAGACATGACATCTCCACTGCCTCCAGCCTTCTCCTCGCTGCAACATTCATCACCCACGCTTCACACCCATATAAGAGCGTTGGTAAAACTATACTCTCATACATTCCCCTCTTTGCCTCCAAGGACAAAGTTCTTTGTTTCCACAGACTCCTAAGTGCACCACTCACTCTTTTTCCCTCATCAATTCTATGATTCACCTCATCTTTCATAGACCCATCCGCTGACACGTCCACTCCCAAATATCTGAATACGTTCACCTCCTCCATACTCTCTCCCTCCAATCTGATATTCAATCTTTCATCACCTAATCTTTTTGTTATCCTCATAACCTTACTCTTTCCTGTATTCACCTTTAATTTTTCTTCTTTTGCACACCCTACCAAATTCATCCACCAATCTCTGCAACTTCTCTTCAGAATCTCCCAAGGCACAGTGTCATCAGCAAAGAGCAGCTGTGACAACTCCCACTTTGTGTGTGATTCTTTATCTTTTAACTCCACGCCTCTTGCAAAACCCTCGCATTTACTTCTCTTACAACCCATCTATAAATATATTAAACAACCACGGTGACATCACACATCCTTGTCTAAGGCCTACTTTTACTGGAGAAAAATTTCCCTCTTTCTACATACTCTAAACTTGAGCCTCACTATCCTCGTAAAAACTCTTCACTGCTTTCAGTAACCTACCTCCTACACCATACACTTGCAACATCTGCCACATTGCCCCCCTATCCACCCTGTCATACGCCTTTTCCAAATCCATAAATGCCACAAAGACCTCTTTAGCCTTATCTAAATACTGTTCACTTATATGTTTCACTGTAAACACCTGGTCCCACACACCCCCTACCTTTCCTAAAGCCTCCTTGTTCATCTGCTATCCTATTCTCCGTCTTACTCTTAATTCTTTCAATTATAACTCTACCATACACTTTACCAGGTACACTCAACAGACTTATCCCCCTATAATTTTTGCACTCTCTTTTATCCCCTTTGCCTTTATTACAAAGGAACTATGCATGCTCTCTGCCAATCCCTAGGTACCTTACCCTCTTCCATACATTTTATTAAATAATTGCACCAAACCACTCCAAAACTATATCCCCACCTGCTTTTAACATTTCTACTTTATCCCATCAATCCCGGCTGCCTTACCCCCTTTCATTTTACCTACTGCCTCACGAACTTCCCCCACACTCACAACTGGCTCTTCCTCACTCCTACAAGATGTTATTCCTCCTTGCCCTATACACGAAATCACAGCTTCCCTATCTTCATCAACATTTAACAATTCCTCAAAATATTCCTTCCATCTTCCCATACCTCTAACTCTCCATTTAATAACTCTCCTCTCCTATTTTTAACTGACAAATCCATTTGTTCTCTAGGCTTTCTTAACTTGTTAATCTCACTCCAAAACTTTTTCTTATTTTCAACAAAATTTGTTGATAACATCTCCACCCACTCTCTCATTTGCTCTCTTTTTACATTGCTTCACCACTCTCTTAACTTCTCTCTTTTTCTCCATATACTCTTCCCTTCCTTGCATCACTTCTACTTTGTAAAAACTTTCTCATATGCTAACTTTTTCTCCCTTACTACTCTCTTTACATCATCATTCCACCAATCGCTCCTCTTCCCTCCTGCACCCACTTTCCTGTAACCACAAACTTCTGCTGAACACTCTAACACTACATTTTTAAAACCTACCCCATACCTCTTCGGACCCCATTGCCTATGCTCTCATTGCCCATCTATCCTCCAATAGCTGTTTATATCTTACCCTAACTGCCTGCTCTTTTAGTTTATAACCTTCACCTCTCTCTTCCCTGATGCTTCTATTCTCCTTGTATCCCATCTACCTTTTACTCTCAGTGTAGCTACAACTAGAAAAGTGATCTGATATATCTGTGGCCCCTCTATAAACATGTACATCCTGAAGTCTACTCAACAGTCTTTTATTACCAATACATATATCCAACAAAACTACTGTCATTTCGCCTACATCATATCGTGTATACTTATTTATCCTCTTTTTCTTAAAATATGTATTACCTATAACTAAACCCCTTTCTATACAAAGTTCAATCAAAGGGCTCCCATTATCATTTACACCTGGCACCCCAAACTTACCTACCACACCCTCTCTAAAAGTTTCTCCTACTTTAGCATTCAAGTCCCCTACCACAATTTACTCTCTCACTTGGTTCAAAGGCTCCTATACATTCACTTAACATCTCCAAATCTCTCTCTCTCCTCTGCATTCCTCTCTTCTCCAGGTGCATACACGCTTATTATGACCCACTTCTCGCATCCAACCTTTACTTTAATCCACATAATTCTTGAATTTACACATTCATATTCTCTTTTTCTCCTTCCATAACTGATCATTTAACATTACTGCTACCCCTTCCTTTGCTCTAACTCTCTCAGATACTCCAGATTTAATCCCATTTATTTCCCCCCACTGAAACTCTCCTACCCCCTTCAGCTTTGTTTCGCTTAGGGCCAGGGGCATCCAACTTCTTTTCATTCATAACATCAGCATCATCTGTTTCTTGTCATCCGCACTACATCCACGCACATTTAAGCAAACCCAGTTTTATAAAGTTTTTCTTCTTCTCTTTTTTAGTAATTGTATACAGGAGAAGGGGTTACTAGCCCATTGCTCCTGGCATTTTAGTCGCCTCATACGACACGCATGGCTTACGGAGGAAAGTTTTCTTTTCCATTTCCCCATGGACAATAGAAGAAATAAAAAAGAACAAGAGCTATTTGAAAAAAGAGAAAAACCTAGATTATATATATATATATGCATGTCGTGTCTTGAAGTGGCCCCAAAGTTAAGTGGGAGTAAAAAAGATACCCCTGTTTATCTTAGGGGTTTTTATGAGACAGAAAAAGAAACCCAACCCTACCATCATGCAAAACATTACAGGTTTTTTTTCACAGCCCATCGGGCAGACGGTATATTTCCCCTGGGGTTCGCTCCCAAACCTACTACCTGTGTTTATATGACTGTTTTTTTTCGTTTCATGTTTCAATTTGCTGTAGTAAAGGCCTGGTGATACCCCAGCATTTTAGGTTTGACCCACTCACTGGCACGAAGTTACTGGCTCAAATGAAAATTCACTATACATTTAATACCATCAAGGGCTTTGCAGAAATCTTGAATAAGATTATGAAAAAGGTATGTATTTAATTTTTATATTTGGTTAACATGTGGGTAGTGTAGGCTAGAGCATCAGTTTGTTACCCTCAGAGACCATCACATTGTCATGTGTACAGTATTTAAAATACTGTATATTCAAAAACTTTATTGAGCATTGTCATTTGTCTTATCATAAAGTCATTCATCATTCTTATCTAGGTTAAATAAGTGTTCTTACTGCAGTATTACTGTGCATTACTGTGTTGTATAAGTTATGTTGCTACTATGTTTTTTTGTAAAGTACACTAGTGTGTTGTGTAAGTTATGATGAGTTTTGTTGCTACAGTTTTATTGTAAAGTACACTAGCACGTCTTGGTAGTGTGGAGATGATTTAATTCTATTAGTAATTTTTTACATGGAAGAAATTATGGGTTGTGAATGTTGGCAGTTATAATACAAATTACACACACCTTGGCATTATATTTTACAGGAAATTGATAACGTGAAGCCTATGGACGAGACGTGTGCAGCATTTGCTTTAAGTAACCTGGTGATGCACTCTAAGGTGGTGGGTGGTGAGCACCAAGCCTGGAGGACTCAGCAGCTCATAGCACTCATGAAGGTTGCACTCTTCACAAGTAACCCAGCTAATTGTGAAGAGTTCAGAGGAGCTTTCTTTAAGTAAGTTCTCTGCCCACTGAGTTTCTTCTCTCAACTGTTTGGTGATATTACAGTGATTTGTTTTGATTCAACTATATATTCTCACCTATGTGTCATAGCTTCTGGGCCCATCTCTCTAACTTGCACTTGCCAGGTTAAATCCCTCCTATCCTCTAGAGTTCCATAATGCAGGTGGTCCTCTTTACAGCACTTCGCTTTAGTGTTTTGCTAATGCAGTGGTTTTTCAATTAAAGCCATTCCTCATTTATTCAGACTTCCTACAGTAAATATATTCACCACTCGCTGTAAGCTAAGGATGGAAATATTTTAAGGTAAGCAATGTGTATATTTTATATGCATTTTTTAGGCCTAGCTTTATTGCTCACTTAACATGTTCACAATATTATATATTATCAGGCTTTTATATGCATTTGAAAGTGAAAAAAGGCTATGATTCACTTTACAGTGATTTTCACTTTACAGAGGTAGCCCGGAACCTAACCTGCTGTATAAGCAGGGCTCTCCTGTACCTGCTTTTAAAGCTATATGTAGAGCCTGCCTCCACTTCTTCATTCAAGTCTTTCCATTTCCTGACCACCCTGATCCTGATGAAATGCTTCCTGACCTCCCTGTGGCTCATCTGTGCCTTTAACTTTTAGCTGTGCCCCAAAGTCCCTGTTTTTACCTCTCAAACAACTTTTTCCCCTTCTACCCTATCAGTTCCTTGATATTTTGTTGTTATGTCTTCCCGGGTTCTTCTGCCCCAAAGTGTTAATAAATCGACTCATTAACCACCCTTTAGCTCATACCCCCTTGCTCTGCATTTTTCCCCTGTTACTTAACATGCTTTTTAAGGGTGTAGTTTTAGGGTAGAGCTGCATAGCAGATTGCCCCGAGTGTGTTGTTAAAGGGCCCGATATGACTGTTGCAATCCCTAAGGGAAACTTTGATGCAGGGTTAATTGAGTGAGTCTCTTGTGACTTTTTTCAGAGGTTTTGTTCATTTCACGGGGCACATAAAAGGTAAAAGGGGGGTTTTGTTGGACATCTTAAAGGCGGCGAGAAGGTTACGTTCAAAAGGGAAGGGGCCCAAATTTACTCTTGGCGTGAGGCCAAGCAGCTGGGGCCTAAAATTGCAAGAAATTATCTCCCCGGAAGGGGGAGAAACAGGACCCAGAGCAAACCAATGTTCAGTTGTGTCAACTGCTCCACAATAACTTAGTGTTCCCCCAGACTTGAGGGGAAATTGAAATGATTTTTTGTTTTTGTGGCCTTATTAATCCCAAAAAAAAATAAATTTCCAAAATATAAATAATTGTTTAAAAATTAAGTGAAATTCACTTCTTCCTTTTTGAAAGTACTTTTTGCAGCTAAAGGGGGGGTGGAATTTTGCAGCTCACAGGGTCATTTAAACTGTCTTCAGTACACCTCGGGAAAGGGACAGCTACTTACTGTATGATCCCCACCCTGGGTGTTGAAAAAAAAGTCATTTTGGACATTTTTTGTTGTGCGAGGCTTCTGCAGACAAAACTATAACTAAAAATATTTAAAACATTGCACTTTGCATAGTTTTTTAATTGAAAATAAAGTTATTTAAGTTCTAAATGTAAAGAAAAACATAGTGAAGAAAAAGTGCATCATAGGGGTTCTGACTTTTTACATGCATGTGAAGCACAGGTTTGAACATTACGTGAGGGGAGGCTGGGGCAGCTTTTGTAAAAACTAGTGCTGTCATTTATGTAAGGGTTTGAAGTTTAAAAATTAAAGGGTGATGTGAGGTTCCCAAAGGATAAGACTCAGAGCTGGGGAGGGTTGTTGAGGTGGTTGCTCTTTGAGAAAGGAGATTCAGAATAGGTTGTAAAAGGGGTTTATAACTCAGGAGTGGGGGGAAAAATAGTCAGGGTTGCCCCAGGAATGATTGGGGGAGGGATAAAGGAGGTTATTGGGGTAGGAAATTGCCCCCAGCAGGCCATGTAAAGCGGGTTTGGGTTAACATGTTGGAGAAAGTTTTATTTGGGATTCAGTATGTTTTTGGAAATTTCGCAAGGTAAAATAAAATAATTCAAAAAAAATAATACAGGCTTGGGTCTTGGAAAGTAAATTGGGGGGGGGGGGGGGGGTTTTAGGTGTTTAGAGGTTAACTTAAAAGTAATGCCCTGTAAAGAAGAAAATTTCAGGGTTTGGGGGGGGGGGTGGATTAATTTTACAGGGAATCAAATACAAAATGGGAGTTGACGTTACTTTTTGTGATGATACTGGCTTTTTGGGGATTCAAAAGAAAAGTTGCAAAGGTTAGGGGATGTTTTTGGGGGAGGGTGTGTCAGGTAGAAAGTAAAAAAGTAAAACCATGGGTAAGAGTAATTTGATAAGGGCATAAAAACAATATAAACAGTTTAGAAAAAGAAAAATTGGATATACTTTGGGAGAGGGAGTAGGGAAGAAGTAAATTTTTTTCCGATATTTGGGAGGTGACTTGCAGGGAGGTTTTGCAGGATGAGATTAACCCAGATTGATAAAGGGACAAATGTTGGGGGGTTGAGGATTGTGGAGACAAAAAATAACTTTTATCCTGGGGCAAAAAAGGGGAAGAAAAGAGATGTGGTCCCAACCGCTTATAGGGGTGTAAAGCATGGGTTGTAAAGGCAGTGAGGGGAGGTGGAGGCTGGAGATGTCATGCTAAGGTCAGTGTATGGTGTAAATACTATAGAGAATTAGAGTGGGGAAAATTAGGAGGAGGTGTGGATTTTCTAAAAGTTTTAGTCAGGGGGTGAAGAGGGGTTGTTGGGTGGTTCAGTCATTTAAGAAAATGGAACAAAGTAAATGACTTGGAGATTTTAAAAATCGTAGGGGAAGGGAAAGGGCCGATAGGGTCTCCTTGAAAAGGTTTAAGGGAGGGGGTTTTTGGGGTTTTGGGGGGGGGTTTTTGGTTTGGGGATTTCCAGCAAGCGTATGTGAGGTTTAGATAGGGTGCAAGGAGACGAAGGGTTTTTTGGGGCCCTAAAGGGGTTTGGAGTGTGGCGGGGGTAAATTTTGTGAAGGGTTTTCAGGGAAAACCAGTTACCCGGGACTTGGGTTTGGAAATGGGAATGCAATCCCTGCATTTAAAGGAGGGGTTTTAAATATAAAAAGTTTGGCGGTCTTTAAAAACTGTTTGTTTTTGAGTGTCTGAAAAAACGTGTTTATGTAGATGATGGTGAATGTTTGAATGATGAAGTTGTTTTTTTTCTTTTTGGGCCCCCCTGCCTTGGTGGGAAACGGCTGGCGTGTTAAAAAAAAAAAAGTGCTTGATGTAGTTCATCATGAGCTCAGGTCACTCATATAAACTGTGAGTGGTAAATTTTGGCCTACATATGAGAGAATGTGTCTTGTATTGTGAATGTGCCCAGTATAAAAAAAATTCATGCCTCATCGGCATGAGGGGAAAAAGCAAAATTTGACCTATGAATTACAAAATTGTAATAACAGATTGCAAATAAATCATGGGATGGGTGGGGCTTGAAATCATACCAGTTGGGGCACAGAAAATATGAAGTTCAATGAAGAGAAATTTCAATTACTCTGATCTAGAAAACTTGAGGAAATTAAAACTTCAGATATAAAATTAATTCCAACCTCAAAATAGAGCAAAACAAATAGAAGGCCTGGGGTGATAAAGTAAAAGGGTCTTGCTTTCAAAGACCACAACCAATGATGGGATGATAAGGGAAAAACCTTAAAAATGGGAGCCAAGCCTTTTGATTTCTCTTCAAATTGCTTGTTCTCTCTAGGTAGTAACTAACTGTCCCCTTCAGCGAAATTGTTGCCCGGGAGAATGTACACTAAGTAAAAAAAAAACACCAAAATTCTGGGGAAAGGCTGAAGTTTTTTGACTTGTATTCCCTGGAATCAGGCAGGGAAAGATACAAATACACACCTGGGAAAAACCTAGAGGGGTAAGTACCAAAATTTTCACTCAAAACCCCCCCCACAAAGCAAAAAACTTAAGGGGGGCAACTCCCCAAAAAGAAAAACAGGGGTTTCCACAAGCACGCTAAGAGATAAAACAATAAGTATCATTGGGCCCCAAGATGTTCAACTGCCTCCCGCATAATAAGGGGGTTACCAAAGCCCCCCCCCCCGGCTGTCTTAAGAAGGCACGGCTGGGACCCAAAGTCAGTACTGACCAGCTGGGGTGTGGTTTTTTTGTAGTTTCTGGGCCAGCAGTAAAATCTTGGTTTAAAAGGGCCCCAATTGACGTGAGGCCCTTTTCACGACGGGCTGGGGGTGTTGACCCCTGAAACCTCTCCGGTTTTCCCAGGTGTTGTTAGATTTTGCAAACATAAGTGGTTTGAAGGGACTAGGTAGGCCCCACAGCCATGCTGGGGTGGGATTCACGTAAAAACCTATTTTTGGGGCACAGGGGACCTGCTCCCCCTATGGTGTATACAATATCCTAGTTTAATGAGTCTTTAAACCCAAAAAAAATCCCAAAAATGATATACGTTCACTCGCGCAGCGCCCAAATATTTTTGGGAAAAAAAATGTTTTTTTTTTTTTTAGGAAAAAAGAGCATGTGGTACCCCCGGCATCCCCAATTTTTTTTATGGGGCCATGATGCCACACCTTCTCTCATGTCTAGGGATAGGCCTGTCATGCCTGGGTCAGCTGGCCAGTGGTTAACAAAAAGGCCGAGAAATTTTGAAAATTGCCCGCCATGGGTTTTAGTCCCCCCCATTCCAAGGTTTTTCGACACATATTTGGGTTAAAATAGGACTTTGGGTTGTGTGTGTGTGTGTGTGTGGTTTTTTTTTTTTGTTTTTTGCTATCAAATGATAAAATGGAAAGACAAATAGAAAAGAAAGGATTTTTGGGTTTGGTCCCGGACCTGAACGAGGAAATCAGCCCAAAGTACCAAAAATTTGATTTTGCCAGTTTCCTGAGGGCGGGTAAGGCTTCCTTACCCTCTGGTTTTTTTATGTGTTTTACTAGGTCGATTCAATTATTGGGTTTCTAACCTAAGATCTTTCCCGGTTTTTTTTTTATC